CCAGGTGCTCGTGGATGGCCTCGGGCTGCGACGAGTGCGACAGCCGCTTCGACGCACGCGACTCCACGAACTCGCCCGGCGACAGGATCACGGCCGACAGCTTCCACGACACGTGCGTCGCCAGGTGGATGCACTCCACCTGCGAGATGAGTCTGATGATGGCCTCCTTGTTGGCGCAGGCGCTCGTCAGGGCCTTCGTCTGCAGCATCTCGGCGACGATGGTGGCCTCCTGCTCCGCGTAGGGGATGTCGCCCCAGCCCCACTGCTCCGTCACGGTGCTCGGCAGCTTCGGGTTGCCGATGACCAGCGCCGACGTCTGCTCGCCGCTCGGCTTCGAGTTCTTGGAGCGCTGGTTCACCTTGAGCGCGCTGATGGACGGCACCACCAGCAGCGAGAACCGCTCGCACAGGTAGTCGTTGGAGTTGGTGCCCTTGAGCACCGGGAACGGCACGAGGTACAGGTCGCCCTCCAGCACCAGCATGAGCTCCCTCGTGACGCCGGTCTCGGGCAGGTGGTCCTCCATGGGCGCGATCAGCAGCTCGTAGAGTGAGCGGAGGCACGACGGGCCCTGCCACGTGACCCTCCTGGAGCGCGTCGAGCCCGGTCTGGAGGCCGAGCCCGAGGCGATGGAGCCGCTGACGGAGCCGAGGGAGAACAGCGACGACAGGGAGTAGTTGGACGAGTTGAACAGGTGGTTGCGGTTGACCATGCGCAGGAAGCCCGTCCGGTCGGCCTCGTGGTTGAGCTTGTCGCCGAGCTCCTCCAGGTGCGCGTTCCACATGTCGCCGGCCTCGCTCTCGGTCTCGCTGGACACGCCGCCGCGCGTGGCGCCGGCGCCGCACTCCACGCCGAGGGCGTCGCGCACCGACTGGATGTAGTGCTCCAGCAGCGAGCCCGACGTGCCGACGGCGTCCTCGCCGCAGTCGCCCTCGCGCTCCGCCTCCACCTCGCTCACGCTCACCTCGTGGAACTTCACGATTCCTGCAAGCGAAGGAAGTTGAAGGTGAAAGGGTTTTGACGAGATTAGTTAGTACAATTATTTGATATAACTGATATAGATTTAATAGAGTCTGGTTCTCCTAGATATAACATTTCATATTGATATACAACCCATCAATCACGTGGGAAAATTGAAGGCGTTGTATCCAAAAGACCTAGTTATCAGAGGTCTGTACTACTACTTGCTCATTTTTGTTTTGTTATCAAAATCATAGTTAATAATTATAATGATAATATACTGCCATTATTATGAAAAGCGTCTACCCACCTTTATTGGGCACGATGAGCCAGCTGTAGAGGCAGCCCGCGGCGATGCTGTAGTAGAGCACCGACGCCTTCTGCCGGTTAACGATGTCCACGATTTGGTCGACGGACGACGGCGTCGAGTCCTCGATGCGCGACGCCCTGGAGGAGGTCGAGGCGCCCTGCCGCTCCAGCAGGAGGTCGACGAAGGCGCGCGTGCGGCCCCGCTCCGCCACGAGCAGGGCGTCCTCGTTGCGGCCCAGGCCCACCAGCACCCGCTGCAGCGCCTGGTACGACGCCGTCTGCAGGTCGAACAAGGACAGGCGGTAGTCCTGCGAGCCTCGCGCCTCCCGCCGGATGGTGTCGAGCAGGTGGGCGGCGCGGTCGAGCTGCGTCTGCGCCGCCTCCAGGTCGCCGTGCCCCCACAGGGCCATGCCCAGGCGGTGCCGGATCTTAGCCTCGTCCTCGCGCCGGCCCAGCTGCTCGGCGATCTGGAGGCCCTGCTGCAGGTACGCCACGGCCTGGGTGGTGTTGCCCAGGGCGTGGTGCACGCGGCCCAGGGAGGCGTAGGCTAACGTCTTGGCCACCTGGAGGAACGTGGGCGGTTACAGGAGGGACTCGCGTTCCAAAATCACATATCACATTTCTCAGATTAGTTACAAAAAAAGAGGAAGAATACAAACCACACCACTCGCACTGTATCTCACATATTTACATAGAATGAATATCCATTGAAGATAAAAGGAAAATCTCAGGCACAGCAGCTTCTACATTTACAATGATAATTTCCACCGAGCAAACTCCCCCGTACCGCCTCCCTTCCCCTTCCCTCCCTCTTCCCACACCACCAGCCCCCTCCCCACTCCCCCCCACCCCCAACCTCCCTCCCCACACACCCCCACACCCCAACCTCCCTCCCCACACACCCCCACACCCCAACTTCCCTCCCCACACCCACCTTGTCGTTCATCTGCGCGGCGATGCTGAGATGCTGCTCGCCATGAGTCACCGCCTGCTCAAAATTTCCCAACGACTCGTAGGCGAGGCTGATGTTGCCGTGCGCTCGCCCTTGCTCCGCGGGGTTCGTCAGCTCCCCGGCGATCTTGAGGTCCAGCTGGTGGTAGCGGAGCGCCGTGTTGTACTCGCACATCTGCTGGTACACGGTGCCGAGCCCGCACGCCGCCTCGCCCTCGCTCGGCTTGTCCCCGAGCTCTCTGCGGGAGGGGGGGGGGATTGTTTCCTTTGTCTTTGGTGCTTA